TGAGCTGGCCACACACACACACACACACACACACACGCACACACACACACACACACACATAAATAAAATTAAAAAAAAAAAACAGCCCTAAAAGAAAAGCTCATAGCTATGAGTGCCCTAACAGAGCAACAGGGGAAACCCAAACAAATTACCTAATTATGCACTTCAAGGTCTTCGAAAAACAAGAAAAATCCAAATCCAGAGCTAGTACAAGGAAGGAAATTATAGAGATCAGAGCAGAAATGAAAGAAATGGAGACTAAAAATCCAGTGCAAGAAGTCAATGAATCAAAGACCTTGTTCTTCAAAAGAATAAACAAAATAGACAAAGTCTTAGTTGATATGAAAGGAAGAATAGGGACAGTTTAACATATATAAATCAATAAATGTAATACACCACATAGACAGAAGAGAGAACAAAAACCATATGAGCATCTCAATAGATGTAGAAAAATTCAACATCCATTCATAATTTTTAAAAACCTGAAGAAACAGGTATAGCAGGACCTTATTTTAATCTGATAAGCCAACTGCGACAAACCTACTACGGACATCATATTAAATGGGGAAAGAAAATGAAAGTTTCCCCTTGAAAATCAGGAACAAGGTAAGAATGTCCACTATCACCACTCCCATTCAGTACATTATGTAAAACACCAGCCAAAGCAAGTAGGCAAGAGAAAGAAATAGAAAGAATACATACAGGAAAACAAGTCACATTATCGTTGTTTGTAGATACATGATCCTTTACACAGAAGCCCCAAAAATTCCACCAAAGACTCTAAAATCAGCAATTTATAAAGCCAGTATCCTTCTCTAAAGTTAGCAGGATACAGAATCAGCATGCAAAAAATCAGTAGTGTTTCTATGTAATAAACTCACCAAAGGGCCGGGGAGATGGCTCAGTGGAATAAGCGCTTCCCTGGCAAGCGCAAGGGCCTGAGTTCAATCCCCAGTTCCACCAAAATAAATAAATAAATAAATAAATAAATAAATAAATAAATAAATAAATAAATTAAACTCACCAAAAAAAGAAATTAGGTGTCAGAGACCAGGCTGTGTAAGGGTTAAGCTGCTGAGCACAGAGCTCTCTGGATGTCCTGGAAAAGCTCCTGTTCACAGCCTCTGAAGACAGGACCCAGCTGCTTCTGCAGGCTGCTGACACTCCCTATTCCTGAGCAATAAAACAGCCAACCTTAGAGGGCAAACAGTTCTCTTAATTTGCAAAATTCACTGCCTTTGTTCTAACTTATGTGTGGGGTTTCCTACCCTCCACTTCCTGAACTCCTAATCTGTGGAAACCTCATCAATACTATGACCCAGAAAACTCATGGTCTTGATTTGTAGAGAGTTCTGGCCTTCCTGGATTCCCCACAAACTATATTATGTGTCTCTTTTGATTTTAGCCCTTGCTGTAAACTCGTATTTTAAGGGTTTGGGGGCCTGATCAGTCCACAATAATTAGAAAAATAATATCATTCACAATATCATCAAGAAGGGGCCTGGGGCTGGTGAGATGGCTCAGTGGTCTAAAGCACCTACTTAGAACAAGCTTAGCGAAGCCCAGGAACCACGGTTCAATCCCCCAGCACCACATGCCAGCCAGCCCTGCCCCCAGGTGGGCTGAGCTGGCCACACACACACACACAAACAAATAAATAAATAAAATTAAAAAAAAAAAAAAAGAAGGGCCAGCCAAATAGCTCAGTAGATTAAAATGCCTGCTTAGGTAGATGCAGGGGCCTGGGGTTCGATTCCTGGGCCTGCTGTGTGAGTCTCACCCCTGGGGTGCCCTAAGACAGCAATTGAGACTGGGCGTGGAGGCACGTGCCTGTAATCCCAGCACTTGGGAGGCTGTAAACAGGAGGATCATTAGGAGTCCGATCTACGCAGTGAGACCCTGTACACCCTGTACACCCTGTCCTAAATACAAAAATAAAAACAAACAAACAAAAAAACCCCACAATATCATCAAGAAAAATTACATATGTAGGAATTCCTACAAAGAAGTACAAGTTCCCTAGAAGAAAAATAACGGTATTTTGTAAAAGGAAATTAAAGAGGACATCAGAAAATGGAAAAATATCCCCTATTCCTGCATAGGCAGAACCAATATTATCAAGCTGGCCAAACTTCCAAAACAAATATATAGATTTAATATAATCCCAATCAAAATGCCCAAAGTATTCCAAACGGATCTAGAGAAAACAATCCTAAAATTCACTGCAAGTAGAATAGCAAAAGCAAACCAGGGCAACAGGAACAAATCAGGAGGCAATACAATCTCAGATTTCAAGTTATATTATAAAACCACAATGATAAAAGCAGCATGGTGCTAACACAAAAAGACATAGTGATCAATGGAACAGAGTAGGGGCTGCTAAACCAACCTGCACAGTCGGCTATTTGGTCTTTCACTAAGAGCCCAAAACTAAGCACTGGAAAGATAACATTTTTCAGCAAATGGTGCTAGGAAACCTAGCTATATACATGTGGAACATCCTATCTAGATAGTTAGCTCTCATTATGTACCTAAATAAAATCAAAACGGATCAGAGAGCTAAATATGAAAACAGGAACACACAAGCTGCTGGATGTTAAAATAGGCAGAACTCTTGAGGACGCAGGTCTTTTTCAGTTGAACCTCTATTATAAAAGAAATAACTTTGGGAATGAACAAATAGAATCTTATCAAATTAAAAAATCTTCTGCATAGCAAAGGCAACAACCAAGAGACGGAAGAGATGATCTACAAAGTGAGGAAAAGTTTTTTTTTTTTTTTATCAGCTACCCCTGGGACAGAGGACTCATATCTAGAATGTACAAAGAACTCAAAAAATTCAGAACCCTCTCAAAATAAAAGATCTCATTAAAAAAACGGGCATCTGAAATGAATAGACACTTCTCAGATGAAGAAGTACACAAAGAAAAAAAAATTATGGAAAAACAAGAAGTACACAGGGCCAGTAAATACAGGAAACCTATATTTAACATTTCTAGGCACTATAGAAATGTAAATTAAAACAGCACTGAGAGTCTATCTTACTTCAGAAAGAATGGCCATCGTCCAGAAATCAAATAATAGCCAGTGACAGAGAGGCTTTGGGGAGACTCTTCTATATTGTTGGTGGGAATGTAAATTAGTACAACAACTATGGGAAGCTGTATGGAGATTCCTCAAAAACTTAAACCTAGAAATTCCATTTGACCCGGCTATTCCCCTTCTCGGTATCTCTCCCAAAGAGTTAAAGAAATCATGTTTTGTCACAGTCTGTGGGCACCTGTGTTTACAGCAGCACAAGTCATAGTAGTTAAGTCTGGGAAGTGGCCTCTGTGTCCATTAACAGATGAACAGATAAAGGACATGTGGCGTTTATGTACAGTGAATATTCGTGCTACTCCGTGGTAAAGGACACATTTGAGTTATTTGTAGGAAAATGAATGCCTCTGGAGGCCATAGTGTGAAGTGAAGCGAATCAGGTGCACAAGCTTAAATAGCACATGGTTTTCTTACATAAGTCGCCCGTGGTAGAGGTAAATTAAAGAACACAACAATAGATACTGGGAAACAGCAACATACATGAAGACATAGAGGTTGTGAAGGGAACAGGGAGAATAAGGGTGTGCCACATACATGTATCAACTGCCCACAATGAATGTAATCATTATGTCCTACAAACACATACTAATCAAAATCAAAATTTGAAAAAATGCTCAGTGGGAGAACACGTGACCAACAGGCACGAGGCCCTGCGTTAGGTCCCCAGCACTGTATTCAAGCAATCAGCCAGTCAGTCAGTCAGTCAGTCAGTCAGTCCGTCTGTCCGTCCGTCAATCAGTCAGTTCATCAGTCAGTCAGTCCGTTCGTCCGTCCGTCAGTCAGTCAGTCAGTCCGTCAGTCCGTCAGTTCGTCAGTCAGTCCGTCAGTCAATCAGTCAGTCAGTCTGTCAATCCATCAGTCAGTCAGTCCATCAGTCCGTCAGTCAGTCGGTCAGTGTCATGGTAGGCAGTCCTCATTTTGACTGGGAAACACTGGCCTGCTTCCCTGAGAGTGTCCACTGTGTCATTCTGCCCATGTCAACCCACGGATCAGGGAAGGAAGGAGAAACAGGCCCAGGCAGGAACTACAGGGCCGGGAGGCAGCTCAGCGGTAGAGCTTTGCCTGATGTGCCAGGTCCTGAGTTTGTTTCCCAACACAGCCAAACGAAATCAAAAATACTCAGGAGGTGGACAGAGATAATGACAATGGAACAGAGACCAGCTTTCAAACTACTACACAGAGCAATACTTTCCCATGAATACAAAGGAAACACCTAGCTTACAAGAAAAAGCAACCAAAAAGATTCAAAATACAGTATCCTGCCACCACAAGGCAAACAAAATAAGATGAAATATCTCAGAAGACTGTGACCTGAGGCAGCCTTGGGTGCTGTCAGGACCCAGGTAAATGCTGCAGCTTCTCTTCCTTCTCTCCCCTGCCCTTCCTTCCCTTCGCCTTTGTCCTTCCCTCCCCTCCTCTGACCTTGGTCTTCCAGGCAGGGTTCTTGTGGCTCCCCTCTGCTTCCCTGGCTAAATCCCTGTGGTCTTGACACTGAGACTCTCTCCACCCTTCCTTGAGCCCCCAAACTGGTAAACCTGGAGATTCCTCCCCCAGATTCAGCGCTCAAGAGTGCTTAGACCAGCCACACTGACCCACCCTGGAACATCCTAGCCTCTTGTTCTCCTTGCTGCTATAATTGCTCTGGAAACTTCCCTCAGTGCCCCTCCTGCACAGCTACCCACTAACCCATGCACGCTGTGGCTGGTGCGGGGTCTGGTGGGCACAGAGGAAAGAGCCCTGCCGCCTCTTTTCAGGGTGTGGTCCTGAGGTTACCCTGCTCCATGGGGACACGGCCACCCTGCTGTCTGCTCTGCATGGGTGAGAGGGCTTCCTATGACACCACCCACAGTCTCAGGCCTGTCATTCCTCCTGCAGACCCACCCCGGGGGACAGCCCCTCACCTGGGAGCCACAGAAGCAGCAGAGCCCAAGGCAGCCCCCCGCGGGGGGACATTGTGCCCACGGAGGGCACCCAGAGCCACGCAGAGCTGGACCGGAGTCTGCAGCCCCGCGGGGTAGGTCGCTGTCTAAAGCTCCCACTTCTGCTTTCTTGGGGCCTGGCTGTTTCCTTGTTCACCTTCTTTTGTTTGTGTTCCTGGAGCTGCGGGAGAAATGGAGGAAGCTGAGAGAACCGAGCTGCCAGTGCAGTTGAGACTCCCTGGGAGCTCCATGGGCGCCGTCCTGTGTACCCCGTTTGAATGAACAGGTCCTGGCACTTTCCTAGTACAAGACTTCACTCCCCGGAAGCCCACAGACCTCCTCTCCCCACCTCACAGCGGGGCACTAGTCAGGGTCTTCTTCTTCTTCGCTTGGGCCCAGTCACTCTTCCTGTGTCCCTGTGGTCAGGATAACAACCCTGCTGAGAGGAGCAAGAGGTACCCACATCCTGCCCTGGGTAGTGCTGCCACGAGGTCGCCCTGGGTAGCTCCCCCCACGAACCTCAGCCCAAGGCCTGGGCCTCTGAGACGGCACAGCGCTTCCAGAGTCCCCATCTGGTTCCTGGTCTTGAACTATGTTGTCAGTTTGACCAAGAGGTCCTCCTGCAGTGACCACCCTTCCTGGGTGGTCCCCAGTGGACCTGAGCTTGGACTTGGGGAACACACAAGGATCGTTTGTTCCACTGTTCACACAGACTCCACACACACACGCACACACACGCCCATGACGTGTCCCCAGCCTGCATAGATTGCCGTGTAGAGCAGGAAGCTCTGGTCCCAACATGCCACCCATCACCCGACAGTGTACAAAGTTCCCAGCCTCCACCCTCAGGGCTCCCGGTGCCACATAAGACCCCAAGAATGGCCTTCCCTGCTACTCCTGGGATTTTCACTTTCCTTCTTCCTCTTGACCGCAAGAGTGTGCTGCCCGGGAGACACACTCTTCCGCTGCTGGAAAGCTCAAGAACAGAACCTGGTAGACCTTGGGCAAGTTGCCACGACAGCAGGCATCGTGGCATACACCTGTGGTCTCAACCACTGTGGGGACTGAGGCAGAAAGATCACTGGCACTCAGGAGTTCAAGGCTAGCCTGGGCAACAGTGAAGCAGCTTGTTTCATTTAAAAAAGTACTCAAGGGCTGGTGAGATGGCTCAGTGGTCTAAAGCACCTACTTAGAACAAACTAAGCTAAGCAAAGCACAGGGACCGCGGTTCAATCCCCAGCACCACATGCCAGCCTGCCCGCACCCTGGTGGGCTGAACTGGCCACACACACACAAAACATACATACATACATACATACATACATAAATAAATAAAAATTTAAAAAAGATAAATAAAAAAAATAAAAAAGTACTCAAAGGCATATATTATCAGCATAGATCAACTAAAGCTCAATACAAAGCAAGACACTTTGGATGCTGACCTTGTTAAGCTGACCATGAAGACGGAGACGGTGACATCCAGTGACTGACCTGGCCCGATCGTAGAGAAGTTCCCAGAAATGGATATTTTTCAGTTCACCCATGATCAGTGATACTGCAGCTGGATACCAAAGCTACATGGAGAAGTAGGTGGGGAGGCTCTCACACAGCTCGTCCATCCACTTACCACCATGTGACCTTGAGCAAAACCCATGGCTCTGGTAAAGGCCAATCATAGTAGCTCTCCTTATTGGGAGCAAATTGTACTGTGGTCATGAAAACTCAAAAAGGCGAGCGTCATTAACATTTCAGGCAGGGTGTCACCAGGGGCAACATCCCTAATGCCAGGGAGGAGGGTGCTTTGCAGAGCATGCCTGACACGGTGTGCCACCTCTTGGCTTCCCTGGGCTGTGCTGAGCAACAGGGAATCACCTTGGGCCATATAGAAAATATGCAATATATGAGTAACGAGACTGCCTTTAGCTTTATATTCTAACTTATTAAATTATTTTACAAGAAAGCGTATGTCTGCTTACGGGCAGTAAACTCATTTTCACGGGCACATGCACAGTAGGGAGATTGAAACAGTTTCATCAGCAACTGCTGGGCTTGATTTACCAAACTGCACCGCACCTAGAAGGTGTGCTGTGCATCAGCAGGGATTCCACTGACGATGTAGCGGGGCAGAAGGCAGAATTAGCAGTGCTCCGCACCCCTCTGCACCGTGCTCCAGGGTCACCTACGCAGTCTGTGTGTAAGTACAACAATGGAGTGGAGAAAGATATTGCTAAAAATCACATGATGTTAAGCTAGGCGCAGAGGTGCACGCCTGTAATCCCAGCACTCGGGAGGCTGAGGCAGGAGGAGTACAAGTTTGAGGCCAGCCTGAGCTACGTAGTAAGACTCTGTCTCAAAAAAAAACAAAACAAAACAGCAAGAAGAACAGAAAATCATAAAATGTGAAAAGTTTAAAGTCTTGTGGGGCTGTATTTCCAGCTGTCCAGGTCCCCATGCAGCCTTGGACACACCTGATCTATGGGGTGTGGTTCACTTTGTCTTATTTTTTTCAGCAGAATATTAGAAAAGCAACAAACTTTTATGTTACATGAAATTCAATTGAATAAAAAAGTTACATTTATGGGGTTTGGGGTACACTCAGTGGTAGAAGAGCTGCCAGGCAAGCGCAAGGCCCTGAGTTTGATCCTCAGCCCTCAGCACACACAAATAAAATAAAATAAAATTACATGGTGTTTGTAAATAGGATCACAAGTCTGCATCTTGTACAGCAATTAACCACTAAGAAGAATATATGCAGTGTATTATTTGTTGAAACTGTACTTCCGATTTG